GTGGGCTGCAGCCCACTTCTTCGGATGCATATAATAGGATATACTATATGCATCCGATGAAGTGGGCTGTAGCCCATGAAAGCTTATGCTCAAATAAATGTGTTAGTCTCTAAGGTGCCACAAGTACTCCTGTTCTTTTTGTGGATACAGACTAACACGGCTACCACTCTGAAACATTCCAGTATTAGTTACTCTGTTTGCAGTTGTTTAACCAATTATGTATCAATGGTAGTTAGTCCAGCCTGCATTTCCCCAGATTATTTATCAGAAATTCAGGGGAGACTGTGTCAAAAGCCTTGCTGAAGTTCAGGTATATTATGTCCACCACGTAGTCCCTGGCCACCAAATCAGTTACCCTATCAAAGAAGGAAATCAAGCTGGTTTGGCATGATTTGTTCTTGGTAAATCCAGGTAGTCACAAATTGAATGAGCGTCTATACTCATGTGTAACCCCAGGTTAGGAATTGTTGAACCCTGGGTCCCAACCTGGGCCTCCAGCATCTACACTGCGTTGTGTGAGCTTGTGTCCAGCCACCCCTATCCCAGAACTCCTAGTGTCCTCCCAAAATGTGGCCACTGCAGCTGTTTGTTGGTAGTACAGCATGGGAAAACTTCACTGTCCAGGGGACAGGAAGTCAGCCTGTGGGATTGCGGGATACTTTTGGCAGAGTCCCAGGACAAGACTCCAGCGGGGCTGCATGTACACTGCAAAGCCACAAGGCTTGAGCCCTGGGTCAAACCCCTCCATCTCTGTGGGGTCCTGGGTCTCAGCCCTGGGCTAGTGCGATTTGCGTGTAGATGGAAGCGGGGTTAGGCTTGAACCTGAGTTTGAGCCCTGGGCTTACACGGCAATGCAGACGTCACCTGTGAGGCCCATGTGTCAAAGGAACATCAGTGCTTCATAAGAACACTTCATCTCTAGCTGCTCGAGTCATCATGAATTATTGACTCAGTGTTGTAGATAGACTGTACCTGCTTTGCATTTTGCGCTACTGAAGTATGTAGAGTGCAGTATTTTGTTAACGGCATTGAGATATTAAGCATTGTAAAGCATCATGAGCTATGCTTGTTCTTGAAACTATGTCCCGACCAATAATTTATACACGAGTGTGAATATACATTTTGTTGAGATGGCCTCTCTGAAAATGACAAACAATTCTGGACTACATGAGTTTATCACATATAGTAATTAGACCATAATGCACCGTAACTTCACCTAAAGATTAAGAGCTGTTTTACTCTCTCTTTACAGTTCAGAAAGCACAAAAGCATGAACAGGCTTTGAGAAAAGAAAATATCACTAAAGCTAAATGGGTTTTAAGCTGTGTGTGTGTGGACTGCTCATTTGTTACCAACAACAGCAGCAGGTAGATGCAGAATTTATGCAAAGATTTATAAAGCTACAAAAGGGAATAGACCCCTGTTCATTTATGAAGCATCATCATCTGGGCATTCACGACCATTCCCAGCCTTTTGCAGGTTAATCCTCCAGATGCGTATGCTCATTTCCATGTCAGTGCCCAGAGGGCATTGGAATCTTCCAGCTATTTCATAGCAATGTGGGGATGGGAGCTCCATTGGCAGACCGGAAGGCTCCTTGGGGTACTATCTTTATTACAAGTCAGAATTGTCTTCTGTCGACAAGTCAGTTAAGTCTTAACATTCAGACCTTTCCTAAATCAAATCAGATACAGCTTTAAAACTTTGAAATCAAGTCACTGGAAAGACAACCCCCCTTACATTTTTTTAACGTAATTCACTTGGTTTTGAGCAAAACAGAGCCCACCATTCCAAGACACATTTCAAGCTCCTGTACTAAGAAAATCCAGTACATTTTAATTTTGTTATTATTTAAATTGTTGCTTCCAGGCTGACACTAAGTTTCAACCAGACACATTTTGAAATAAGAAGTGCTTTAAAAATAAGAATTTATAACAATGCTAACCCAGGGTAGCTGTGCCCCCAGAGCTCCCTGATCACTGTCAACGTAGTTACCCTTCGGTCCATGTGAATGAACCCTGTGAATCCTTCAAATTCCTAAGTCAAGGTTGTGAAGGATACTAAAACAGGTGTTTCTCTTCCTAGGACCCAATCGATTTAGAAGAGGGTTTGGACAGCAGCAGTATAATAGAAGACCATTTAGAAGTGCCATGGCTGGTCCGAGAAGACGAGTAGCTGCCACATTAAATGGAGCGAGCCCTTTAAACCGGCAGGCTTTAGCTCAAGAGGTAGGCAGAGGGAGTGGGGGGGAATCCACAGCTGTTCCTCAGTGTCACAGCATTCTGGAAGGGCCTGGGGTTTTTATCTTGACTTGCCTAAGAGAAGAGAGTCTAAGCAGAGAATATTTTATTTGTTGTCCAGTTAGGTTTATAGGATGTGAAACTTGCAATGGTGTCAATGTATTTTATGGAATCTGTGCAAAACCAGCCCTGTCTTACAGCGATTCCAGGTCACCTCCCTTACTATGGCCTCTCCCAAGAACATAGCTGAAGAGTCACCATCATTTTTGCCCACACAAGGCAAGAGCCAACGCCCTTTGAGGTCAACGGGAGGACTTCCATTGATTTCAATGGGTTTGGAAAGATTAGGTCTATATGGCTCATTGGCATATGGATAATAGTCTTTGATTCTACAGAGGTGCTAGTGACAGCTTTAGTTAAGGTTGCTTAACAGCTTCCACGATAAACTCCCCTTTTTGGGTAACTTGTAACTTTCTCAAACTTTCACTGTGTCAGCCTGAAATCCTTCAGGAGTGGGGGTTTCGTTTGATTGGTTTTTAAGGTTTGAGTGAACGTGATTCAGCTATTTTTAGCATCAAGAGAACAGGGGAACAATACACCTTTACCATTAAAATAATTCTTGTAACTTTGTTTTGAACATCTCTAGCACCAAAATGGCTTGGGACAGAAAGCTGAAATTTAGCATGTAGATAGTCCTGCGGGAGGAGAGTTGCCTTTTGATGTCATGGCAGAAATCCATTTTGATTTGGGTGAGTTAGGAAGGTTTGAAAATAGTACTTCACATGTGCTCAACACGTTTTTTAAAACTAATGAGAACTCATATAATGACAATCTCCTGATAGTGGAAGAGGGCAGCACTGCATCTGCATGTATATAGAATTTGGTACTTATTTAAAGGGCATGTAATGAATTAGATACGGACTGACTATGGCAGGATATTAAGAGAAAGTAGGAAGTAGTTGCTAGGAAGCATAATTCTAAGGTAGCTTTCATTCCACAGAAATTAACTGAGTAGGAGTCTGTGGAAACATGGATCGGGTAGTGGGTGGTGACAGTGAGATGGATATGGTCCTCCAGACATGGAGGGGGACAGTAAGTAGCAGTATTTAGAAGTAATGCAGAAGCTCTGCTTTACTGAATGGGGATCTTTTGAGGTGTCTGTTCTTCCACGTTCTAAGGCACTGATCCAGCAAGGTATTTCAGCACATGGGCGAACAGTAAGCAGGAGTTTATTGAATGAGGCAGGATTTCAGGGGGATTGTGACCTGGGGTCATACTGTCTTTGCATAATCCTGTGTCTCCACAAACAAGTTTTGGCATTTCTGTCTTCCCTATGAAATATAATACACCCACACACTCCCTTTGAAACATTCTACCCTGTCATTCATAATTTCAAAAAATTGTTAATTACAGTAAAAAAAAAAAGACATGATTGAGGAAAAGAAGTTGCTACAATACCATAGATCAGTGGAAATCTCCATGTCATAGGGGGAAAGACCACAACACATCTCAGGATTTAATAAGCTTAAGGGATCGATTACATACCAAGTCAATTATCAAAGAAGAAAAAACACTTACACATCAGGATCTTTCATAATAATACAAAAGTCACATAGGAAATAAGAGACAAGGTGACCCTTGGAGCACCTTTCCCAGACCTGAAGAAGAGCTCGATGTGGCTCGAAAGCTTGTCCCTTTCACCAAGAAAAGCTGGTCCCATGACAGATATTTCCTCCCCCACCTTGTCTCTAATATCCTGGGACTGACACAGCTACAACTGCCCTGCATAGGAGAGAAGTCAGCCCCAGTGAAATTAACACGTGGACAGTGGGAGTGAGTCAATTCCAAGGATGAATCTCCCTCAAAACTGCTAAACAAAGCCCACCGTGAATGATGCGTTGAGAAATGCAGACTGCTTGGACACCCTCAGTCTTTCCAGCAGACCGAGTATCACCACGTACAAGCCAGTCCAGCAAACAAACAGATTTAAGCACTGCCTGACCCCCATGGCAGTGTGGCTGGGGATAGATCGGGAACAACGTCCATACGAGTATTCTGATAGAAACTAATCCCCTGCTTTGTCATGTTTTGTGACCCTTTTCTCTGGCCGCTGAGAAAGCAAACACAGCCATTATAGCTGATCGCAAGCGAGCTGTTGCTATGTTTTAGGGCATCCAGCATGATGAAGTGCTTACAAAAAGCAGTGACAGTGGACAGCCTGAAGCACAGAGACGGCTACCCCAGCGCCCCAAGAGATTCCGAACAGCGGGAGTCCCTGGCCAAGCCCCAGCTAGAAGGTAAACAATCTGGCACATTGATCTGATCGAGAAATTATTTCCTTGTCAGTTTGGAAGACTCTCTCGTGCTATTAAATCTCCTCTCGTGTTCTGCATTGACTGGCGAGGTGCAGCAGCCATGGAGTGCACTGCACTTTATGAAATATTCCTTCTCCTATCGCTAAATCACTTGGAAATAAGTTTACTGCGTGCTTGTGTTTAATAACCAGACATTTCCTCTGCCACTTTTAATAAATACATTACAATTTCAACTCCTGTTATGCCAAGTGCAGAGCTGCCCAAGAGACTTTGGCTCCTCCCAGATTTGTACAAGAAGCGTTTGGAATGTCTTACCCGTAGCAGCAACGTTGGCAGCCGGCAGTTCCTGGTTTGCTTTCATATGTTTTAAAATCAAACCCGGTTAGATTATTTCCTATTAAGCTGAGGACTAGACCTTTCCCAATGCTCCTCCTCAAGGCAATCGTTTCCTCACTTTGCCTCTTTTCTTTTAATTGCAGGCCTTTCATGCTAAACAGGAGACCAGCCTTCCAGCAGAGGCAACCCCAAGTCAGCTTTACCAGAGGGGTCAGTGTGCGACAGGCTCTTGCAAGATCTGACAAGCTTGATAATTATTTTAATGTGAATCAGCCTTTCTCCCTCCCTCCCCCATTTGCATCCTTGCTTCTGCAGTTAGCTGGGAGAAATAGCCATGGTTATACAGAGCGCGTGGCCCAGAGCCTCCAAGGCCCCTTGCCCACTGAAATCCAGCTGGGCCTATATTCCAAAAGCGAATGAGCATATGCAGGATCGGGGCCGTAGTGGCTCTTAGGCTGGTCACTCAGTTGTAAGTGTCCTGCACGTGTCTACGTGTCCTGGTGCTGGCCTCTAAGGGTGTGTGCACAGCCCACGGCACTGCACCTCCAGCCTGGGTTGACAGCCTTGGGTTAGCAGGGCGCATGCTAAACACAGCTGTGTGGACCGCGCTTTGAAGTTGCAGCTCAGGCTGGGGCTGGAGCTGTGAAGCCTGACATCTTCTACACCGCTATCCTAGAGCGCTCTGCGAGCCCTGCTCACCGGAGTCTGTCGATACAGGCTGGGGGGGACTTGCGCCCGTGGGCTGTGTAGACATGGGGCACGTCCATTTCTGGCCTCTGTAACTCTTCTCCTTCTACGGGTAGAGATCAGACCGATGCCTATGGACAATCATGCCCCTTATAATAGTGAATATTCAACAATTTGTTCAAGCCCCATTTTACTGAGATGCTTGTTGGCATTGCTCTGTGGGCCCTGATCCTGCAACCACGTGCCAACAAGAGCACATGGGCATTCATGGGCATCAGTATGGTCAGGACCCAGGCCCAGAGCAGTGTGCACTAAATGATAATGCTGCATTACAAACTGAGTCTCAGCCTCCCACGTTGGCCTCTGGCTAATAACAGTAGAATAGGTGATAAAGTCGGGTTGGCTTGGACTGCAAGACAGAAGGGACAGCGCAAAATTAGCCCTGACCAATCCATACATTACAGTGAAAACCAAATTTCACTGACTTATTGGGGATATGGAGTGTAGCTGGAGCCATGTCAGTCCCAGGATATTAGGGAGAGATGGTGGGTGAGGTGATATCTGTTCTTGGACCAGCTTCTGGTGGTGAGAGAGACAAGCTGTCGAGCCACACCGAGCTCTTCTTCAGGTCTGGGGAAGGTGCTCCCGGCGTCACAGCAAATACAAGGTGGAACAGAGTGTTTAGCATAAGCGGTTAGTGAATATTCTAAAGGACCATTCACCGTAGAGTGGTGATAGTCTGTGTAAAAATCGTTATTTTAAGCTACTTTAGAGGGAATTATTTGTCTGAGAGACAGTTTCTAAAATCAATTTCTCTCCTGCATTTTATTTCACAGCAAACGGAACCACCCACAGAAGGGAAACGACCATGGATGAGAAGGTAATTGGGAGAATTAAAAGAGACACACAAATGTGACCAGTTCATCACTACGGAAACCAAACGAGCTACGTTTCTCTTTCTCGGCAGGTGGCAGCTGCAGCCCAGCGCTGGAGCAGTTCTAACCATTTCTGTCTGTAACCCTCAGGCGAGCCACACCAATATGTGAGTAAATGGCCAGGGTGTATGGTTTTAGACAAGCTGCTAAGATCTGTGACACTGAAAAGGTCCACCCGAAATCCCCTTTGCACCTTAGAGCTGAGTGAATAATTCAGATTAAAATGTTCAGAAAATATGACCTCTTTCTGCTCCTGGAATAACTGAACGCAGGTTGCAGTTTCCTCCCATTTGTTCCTTACTTGGCTTAATCCGCAGCGCCGGTGCTTGTGGGACTAGCGGTGGGGAGCAAACCTGGGACCTCTGGATCTAAGCGTCTGTTTGAACTACAGAGCCAGCTCCATTTACTGGTAGGAGCTGATATTGTGCAACCGCTGGAGAGACACCGTTGGCCCAGGGGGGTGCCGTGGATTGACAGAGGGGCACTGGAGAGAGATGCTCTTCCAGGCTCCCGCTGGAAGAGGGGCTTTAGTGCCGTGCAGTGGCAATGCACAGTCAGCAAACCCACCCCCCTGGGGGTGGAGTAGCAGTGGAGGAGGGCCGGGCTCCACTGCCTTGGGGTAGCCCCAGACTGCATCTCCCTTTAGCCCCAGCGCTGCACACCTGCTGGGGGTTAAGCTGCACTGGCCACTCTCCACTGTCAATCACACTCATCAAGGCTGTAGTGAACAATACCCCCGGAAAGGCTAAGGAGCTGCAGGTGGCCCTTTCATCTGCCTGCTGCTAGAGAGTGATAGAAAACGAGCGACCTTCGCTTGCTAAGTAAACGCTCCGTGCATTCGACAGGCCGGGAGGCAAGCGGCCGTTCCTCAGAGGCCGAAGACCCCCACCAAGGACAGCCAAGCCCCAGCCCCGAGGAGTGCCGCTAAGATTCAACTTCCGTGCAATGGCGAATCAGGTAGAGCGGATGGCACGAGTGTGTGAATGCTCAGATCAGCTGGACGGGCCACGCTCCGCGCTGCACGGGCGCAGGCCACGGTTGCCGTGTGACCGCTCGGATTTTCCAAACAAAACGTTTCCATTTGGAGTCAAAACCCCTTTTTGTTTGAATTTTACTATTTCAATTTTATATTTTTAAAAAGTTAAAAAAAAAAATACTTGGTAACGAAACATTTTGTTCAACCTGAAATTGTTGTTGGGGATTTTCCAGTTTGGCCCCTGAATCAAAACGTTGGTTATTCGCACAGCTCTAGCTTTCACACTGGCATACACAGTCATGGCCACAGTGCCCCAGAATAGCTCCAAGCTCCTGCTTTATCTTCCCTCGTGGTTACTCGAGTTCCTTGCCAGCACAGCATTACTAGGTACTGTGCACTCAGGTGCCCCCTGCTTGTTCCAGTCCTGACTGAGGACACTTTAGTGGTCGGGTCTGGTGCTGATGGAGGTTTTCCAGCCAAATGCATTTTATCAAGCTCCTTGCACAACTCCATGTGATGGCTAGTTTAATTGACTAGCTGGCTGCAGAAGCACATTCCAGGCGTGTTTTAATCAATACCCCCTGCAGATCTGGGTGTGAATCACGCTGTGCCCTCCCTTTCCCCTGCAGACCAGCCTGACCTTGGACGAGAGATTCTCCGGCCTGAGGAACAAGAGGCGTTTTACGGCAGCGAGGAACAGCGGCCGGACAGTCATGCTGCCCTAGTGCCACGTGTGTGGCCTGGGGATGGTGGATCCAGCCCAACCTGAATAACGGGCCACCAATAAAACGCAATTGATTCCCTTTCCGCTGGCTACCTTGGTATTACACCATTCCCTTGCGTACACACAGGTAGTCAAGGTACTGTCTGGGGCAGGGACAACCAGAACTTCAGGGCTAAAGTCTTGGCCAGGCAGTGACCCCTAGATCTGCGTAACTGCCCCCCGCAGCCAGGGAGTCCTGGGGCTGCGGTGGCCAGACAGAGGCCCTGGTCGCATGTCTTTAAGGGAGCTGCAAATAATGCCATGGAGCTGTGGTTCTCCATCATTGCAGGGGCACCCACCAGCTTTGGGAGCAAGCCTGGTCCCCACTGCCAGGACTACCTGGGGTGCTCCTGTGACAGTGACTCCCTCACCCCACACTGCTTCCTGTGCAGGAGAGGATGTCTGGCCCTCTGCCCTCAGATGGGCTCCTGGGGCCTCCTCTAGGCATCCTGCCAGCCCCTGAGCTCCCAGGTCAGCACCCAGCCTGTCACCCTCATTGGCTTCACCCAGCATTTGTTCTCTTACTTTGCTTGGATGGGGGCCTGGGAAGGCAGGGAGTCTGAGAGCTAGGAGAGGAACCAGCATGCAGGTGATGAAAGGAAAGCGTGCCAGTCTCGGGGGAGCTTTTCAGGTGCCAGCGTTTATTAGGGTGGTTTGCTTTATAGATTCAAGGACTGGAAGGGACCTCGAGAGGTCATCGAGACCAGTCCCCTGCCCTCATGGCAGGACCAAATACTGTCTAGACCATCCCTGATAGACATTTATCTAACCTATTCTTAAATATCTCCAGAGATGGAGATTCCACAACCTCCCTAGGCAATTTATTCCAGCGTTTAACCACCCTGACAGTTAGGAACTTTTTCCTAATGTCCAACCTAGACCTCCCTTGCTGCAGTTCTTGTCTCCCTGAATTCTGAATGATTGATTGATGTGGCAGGCCAAGCACTTTACAGACAAGTGTGAAGACAGGGTCCGTGCCCAAGACTTTACAAGCTAAGGCTCCAGCACGCGCACACACACACACACAGTCCCATTGTGGTCAGTGGTACAGCTCGCATCAGGAGTGTGACCCGGCCTTGTGTGCTGGGGGGTTTGCACTGGTCTGACTGAGGTTGCTGCACCAGTGCAAGCCCCGAGCAGACACATGCTGCACTGATGTGAAGAGCCTGGCACGGGTGAGGCTGACCCTGGTTTGATGGCAAGGATGCCTGTGCTGGTGCAAGTTGTTTTTTACATCACTGCAGCACGTCTGCACTAGAGATCTGCCCTGGTGCAGCTCCATTGGTGCCCAAGGTCCCGGTGTAAACAAGGCATTACCTGCATCGAGTTTGCAGGCTGGGGCCTCCCGAGAGCACCTCCAAATGAAGGCGAGGCTACGGGCGCTAATGAGCGTGAACAGTGGAACTTAGACTTTCCCAGACTAAACTCCATTACTAAATGCATTTCCCCCTCCTTCAGTCTGTGAATGCACAGTACATAGCCTGAGCTTGGGCCTTGACACGGACTAGGAAAGGTCCGTGCATGACAGAACATTTTCAGTTTTACATCAGAGCAACTAACGCGCGTGTGCATCGGAACGTGGTTTTACAGGAATTTTGGAGGCATTACTAATTTATAAAGAGGTGGTATGAGAGGTCATTGCACCGAATAAAACACGTTTAAAGTGTTAGATCTGATTAGTGATTTTCCCTCAACAGGCATTTTAGTCTAACCAAAAATACTGGGCCTCAGTCCCTTGAGTGCGTGTGGTACACCATGGGGTGCGGCCTGACCAGGGCAAACGTGTCTGCTGAGAAACATAGAATCTGCTCACATGGCAGGTCCACTGTTCTTCTCTGGGGTGGTAGGGAAGGGGGCAAAGTATCTCCTCCCTCCGATTTATCTTCTGCAAGGAACAGAAGGTGCCCACCCCCAGCTTTAAAATATACAGTCAGTAAAATAAACAGACTCCAGTCATTACCCATGGATCACACTGCCCTGGCACCAACACGGATACACAGACATTCAGTGACCCCCATCGCAACCCCGCGCCTACCATTCCCCAGTTCCCTGGGGAGCAGAGATGGACCCTGCAGCATGCCCAGAAGATTAAGAAACTCATCATAATATATATATAAAATAAAATAGCATTCTGGGCTGTGTTGTATGTAAGCCATGGGAAGCAACTGTCCAGCTCTTCGCGGCACTGGGGAGGCCTCGGTTGGTTTACTCTGTCCAGTTCTAGGGACCACAATGTAGGAAGGATGTGGATAAACTGGAAAGAGTCCAGAGGAGAGGAACAAAATGATAAAAAGGTTTAGAAAACCTGACCTGTGAGGAAAGGTTAAAAGAAAACTGGGCAAGTTTAGTCTTGAGAAAAGAAGGCTGAGGGGGAGACGCCGATAACAGTCCTCAAATATGTTAAGGGCCATTATAAAGAGGACGGTGATCAATTGTTCTCCATGTGCACTGAACGTCGGACAGCACTAGATACTACGTGAACTTGCAAACAGACCCTAAAAAAGACAAATCCATTCATCCCAGAAAGGTATGAACTTGCCAGAGAGGGAATGATTATGTAGATATTTAGTTAAATTGTTCATAAATTCTAAGGCCACAAGGGACCAAAAAAAGAAATTGGAATTGGAAAAGGTGCAGAGAGGGGCAACAAGATGATGAGGGGTCTGGGACAGCTTCCGTATGAGGAGAGATTAGAAAGACAAGGACTGTTCAGCTTGGAAAAGAGACGACTAAGGGAGGATACGACAGAGGTCTATAAAATCATGACTGGTGTGGAGAAAGTAAATAAGGAAGTGTTATTTACTCCTTCCCATAACACAAGACTCAGGGGTCACCCATTGAGATTAATAGGCATCAGGTTTAAAAACAAACATAAGGAAGTATTTCGTCACACAGCCTGAGACACTCGTTGCCAGGGGATGCTGTGAAGGCCAAAATTATAACAGAAAAGAACTAGATAAGTTCATGGAGGATAGGCCCATCGATGGCTATTAGTCAAGATGGTCGGGGATGAAACCCCATGTTCTGGCAGTCAGAGGCTAGGGACACCCAGATGCTCGGACAGGATGGACAGGGGATGGATCACTTGATCATCACCTGTTAGGTTCACTCCCTCTGGGCACCTGGCACTGGCCACTGTCGGCAGACCGGATACTGGGCTGGATGGACCTGTGGCCTGTCCCAGTAGGGCCGTTCTTATGTTATGTTCACTGTGATCATCATGCATCCACATCACATGGGTCATCTAGTCTGACCTCCTCTATAACACAGGCCAGAGAACTGCCCAAAACAATTCCCAGAGCAGAGCCTTTAGAAAAACTCCCGTCTTGATTTAAACATTGCCCGTGATGGGAAAAATCCACCATGATCCTTGGTGAGTTGTTTCAATGATTACTCTCATTGTTAAAAATGTGTGTCTTATTTCCAGTCTGAATTGGTCTAGCTTCAGCTTCCAGCCATTGCACTGTTAGACCTGTCTCTGCTAGATTGAAGAGCCCATGATTAAACATTTGTTCCCTCTGTAGCTACTGATAGGCTGTAATCAAGTCAATCAGGGTGTTCTCTGCTGTCATCCTGTTGGTACGTTTGTCAGCGACATGGCTGTACCGTGTATTTGGTGTAAGGGTTATTTAAATAAAAGTAGGCAGACCTAAGAGCTAAAGGCCACATGGTTCTTGCGCTTTGTTTCCACTGACTCATGAATTTGGATGGTGCAAGAGAAAAATTTAGCTCTATGTAAAAGTGGACTGAGCTGATAACCAGCAATATTCCAAAACATCACAGCCCACGGCGTATCGGGTCAGGCATTGGAAAAACACCACTTTCTGCCTTGCTAAGCATAAAATAGTGAAATAATTCTCTCTCAAATGTAAGTTACTTTGTTTTGAGTTAGATCGTTAACTGATGACCACAGCGTAGATTAGTAGCTCACTGCAGTAGGTAACTGATGGATTTAACATATCTAACTTAGACACAATGGAAAGCATTTTTGAAGTGTCTTGTGAATCTTTCCTTTTGCAAAATTGAATTTATGCATCACCTTTGCATTTAAAACTGGGGCGAGCTAAACATTTTCTCTACCCTGTATAATTTTGCTGCCACTAAGATTTTTATGCTCAGAAGTTTCCTCTAGCCCCCAAACATACCACATACCCAGCAGGTGGCAGCGTTCAGCTGTTTACAGGAACCTGCAGTTGGTTGTATAGGAGTTCAGCTGGAGAGAGGGAAAAGCTGGAGTGGTAACAAAATTGCACAGACTTTGGAGGCCACAGGGAAGGGCATCTGCTAACACTGGAAAATATTTCACTTACAGCAGCACTGGTCTGACTTTAGTTTAAATAAACAGTTTCCAGGCTGCCAGAAGACGCATGGAGATCGCTGAGAATTTATGGCCTCAAATGCATTGTAGGGCAAGAGATGACAGGTAACATTTATACGGATTTAGTAAAACTAATGTCCAATCAAAGCTCTCGACAGCCCACTAAACACTATCTTCTGCAGCAGATATCCTCACAGAACGTCCATTTCTGCTGAAGAGACATTAATTTCACTGCATAGAGAAGAAGAGACCACCCAGAAAATTGGCTGACTCCAAGGAGTGGGACTTTATCATTTTGACCAGCGTTGCTGGATGTGGTTTTTTTCCCCTTATGCAGCAGCTCCCACAGTCGGTATTTTTCTAGCTGCTCGATGGAGGGTCTGGCTGAACTCTCAAGCTAAAAGCCTCCCCTTGAATGAGTTTATCAGATTAGGGATGAGTTCCGGGTCAATTTCCTCCATTGTCAATTTCCCCACAACCTTGGTGTTCTATGAACAGGAGGAGTAATTGCATTAGGGTACTTCTGATTGTTCCTGGAAGCGTGTTATTGGCCCAAAGCGGCCTCCAAAGCAGCGGGGTAGTCTCACATTTAAGGCCTCCATTAGACACATCAGATCACTATGGTCAGTTGCATCTCAAGACAGCCCCTTTGAGCCAACATGGCTCCTGTGCCCTCTTACAGCCCATTTACTCGGAGCTCTGCCCGTAAAGTGCCCCTGGGAGGGG